TCTTGGTGATTAACATTCACCTCTTCATTACTTATACAAATTTCTGCAGTGGTCTTGAAACTCTCCCCAGAAAATGTGATTTGTTTTTGGTCACATCATCAGTGTGCAAATTTTTCAAATCTTTATGCTCCACTTCCTCTTGAACATTTTGCTGCTTAAAAAATACTTTTACCTGATAATCTAAATTATTTCTCAAGTCCAAAGTTCCACAGATCTCTAGGGCAGAAGCAAAATGCCATCAGTCTCTTTGGATAGTAAGAGTGAGTTTTACTCCAGTTCCCAAGAAGTTCCTCCTCTACATCTGAGACCACCTCAGCCTGGACTTCATCAGCATTTTGGTCAAAGGCATTCAACAAGTTTCTAAGAAGTTCCAAACGTTCCCATATTTTCCTCTCTCTTTTTTAGGCCCTCCAAACCATTCGAACCTCTGCCTGTTACCCAGTTCCAAAGTCACTTCTCCATTTTTGGGCATCTGTACAGCAGCACCCCATTCTCTGTGGTACCAATTTACTATATAAGTTTGTTTTCACACTGCTAATAAAGACATAACCAAGACTGGGTAATTTATAAAGGAAAGGTGTTTAAGTAACCTACAGTTCAGCATGGCTCGGGAGGCCTCAGGAAACTTACAATTATGACAAAAGAAGCAAGCACATCTTTCTTCACATGATGGCAGCAAGCAGAAGTGCCAAACAAAAGGAAGGAAATACACTTATAAAACCATCATATCTTATGAGAACTCACTATTACAATAACAGCATGGAGATACTCACCCGCATGATTCAATTACCTCCTACCTGGTCCCTCACACAACACATGAGGATTATGGAAACTATAATTCAAGATATGATTTGAGTGGGGACACAGCCAAACAATATCACTTTTCTAACTATTCTAAATTGAGCTCCAACCAACTCTACTTATTGTGGTCAACATTTAATTAACATTTTAATGATTTACTGCCTGATTTGTATATGTCTGTATGACTGTCTCATTTTTCCCAGTTTAATTATAGGAAACAGGACCAAAATTCTTTTTCTTCTCAGGCCCTATGACAATGCTGACCCTGTGAGGAGCAAAAAATTTAATCTATGCTAATGACTCTGAAAATGACCTAATGATTTCTGTTTAAGAAATGCAATGAAAAATAGAAGGATAACAGGTAAAACAATGTTCTTGCCCATTCAGTATGATATTAGCTGTTGGTTTGTCATAAATAGCTTTCATTATTTTGAGATACGTTCCGTCAATACCTAGCTTATTGAGGGTTTTTAGCATAAAGAGCTGTTGAATTTTGTCAAAGGCCTTCTCTGCATCAATTGAGATAATCATGTGGTTTTTGTCTTTGGTTCTGTTTATGTGGTGAATTGCGTTTATAGACTTGTGTATGTCGAACCAGCCTTGCATCCCCAGTATGAAGCCTACTTGATCATGGTGGATAAACTTTTTGATGTGTTGTTGCAATCGGCTTGTCAGTATTTCATTGAAGATTTTTGCATCTATGTTCATCATGAATATTGGCCAGAAGTTTTCTTTTCTTGTTGAGCCTTTGCCGGGTTTTGGAATCAGGATGATGTTGGTCTCATAAAATGATTTGGGAAGGATTCCCTCTTTTTGTATTGTTTGGAATAGTTTCAGAAGGAATGGTACCAGCTCCTCTTTGTATGTCTGGTAGAATTCGGCTGTGAACCCATCTGGACCTGGGCTTTTTTTTGGGTGGTAAGCTCTTAATTGCTGCCTCAACTTCTGAAATGTAGCACTAGACAAGGATGCCCTCTCTCACCACTCCTATTCAATATAGTACTAGAAGTTCTAGCCAGAGCAATCAGGCAAGATAAAGAAAAAAAGGGTATTCAAACAGGAAAGGAGGAAGTCAAGTTGCCTCTATTTGCAGACGACATGATTGTATATCTAGAAGACCCCATCGTCTCAGCCCCAAATCTCTTGAAACTGATAAGCAAGTTCAGCAAAGTCTCGGGATAGAAAATCAACGTGCAAAAATCACATGCATTCCTATACACCAATAACAGACTTAAAGAGAGCCAAATCAAGAACAAACTTCCATTCACAATTGCCACAAAGAGAATAAAATACCTAGGAATACAACTAACAAGGAATGTAAAGGACCTCTTCAAGGAGAACTACAAGCCACTGCTCAACGAAATAAGAGAGGACACAAACAGATGGAGAAACATTCCATGTTCATGGTTAGGAAGAATCAATATCGTGAAAATGGCCATACTGCCCAAAGTAATTTACAGATTCAATGCTATCCCCATCAAGCAACCAATGACCTTCTTCACAGAACTGGAAAAAACCACCTTAAACTTCATATGGAACCAAAAGAGAGCCCGCATAGCCAAGTCAATTCTAAGCAAAAAGAACAAAGCGGGAGGCATCACACTACCGGACTTCAAACTATACTACAAGGCTACAGTAATCAAAACAGCATGGTACTGGTACCAAAACAGAGATATAGACCAATGGAACAGAACAGAGGTCTTGGAGGCAACACAACAGATCTACAACCATACGATCTTTGACAAACCAGACAAAAACAAGCAATGGGGAAAGGATTCCCTGTTTAATAAATGGAGGTGGGAAAACTGGCTAGCCATGTGCAGAAAGCAGAAACTGGACCCTTTCCTGACACCTTACACTAAAATTAACTCCAGATGGATTAAAGACTTAAATATAAGACCTAACACCATAAAAACCCTAGAAGAAAATCTAGGCAAAACCATTCAGGACATAGGTGTAGGCAAGGACTTCATGACCAAAACGCCAAAAGCAATGACAACAAAAGCCAAAATAGACAAATGGGACCTAATCAAACTCCACAGCTTCTGCACAGCAAAAGAAACAGTCATTAGAGCGAATCGGCAACCAACAGAATGGGAAAAAATTTTTGCAATGTACCCATCTGACAAACGGCTGATATCCAGAATTTACAAAGAACTAAAACAGATTTACAAGAAAAAAACTAACAAGCCCATTCAAAATTGGGCAAAGGATATGAACAGACACTTACAAAAGAAGACATACATCAGGCCAACAAACATATGAAAAAATGCTCATCATCACTGGTCATCAGAGAAATGCAATCAAAACAATATAGAGATATCATCTCACGCCAGTTAGAATGGTGATCATTGAAAAATCTGGAGAGAACAGATCCTGGAGAGGATGTGGAGAAATAGGAACACTTTTACACTGTTGGTGGGAGTGTAAATTAGTTCAACCATTGTAGAAGACAGTGTGGCGATTCCTCAAGGACCTAGAAATAGAAATTCCATTTGACCCAGCAATCCCATTACTGGGCATATATCCAAAGGATTATAGATCATTCTACTATAAGGACACGTGCACACAAATGTTCATTGCAGCACTGTTTACAATAGCAAAGACCTGGAACCAACCCAAATGCCCATTCATGATATACTGGACAGGGAAAATGTGGCACATATACACCATGGAATATTATTCAGCCATCAAAAACGATGAGTTTGTGTCCTTTGTAGGGACATGGATGAACCTGGAAACCATCATTCTCAGCAAACTGACAGAAGAGCAGAAGATCAAACACCGCATGTTCTCACTCATAGGCGGGTGCTGAACAATGAGAACACATGGACACAGGGAGGGGAGCACTACACACTGGGGTCAGTTGGGGGGAAATAGGGGAGGGACGGTGGGGTGTGGGGAGCTGGGGAGAGATAGCAAGGGGAGAAATGCCAGATGTAGGTGATGGGGAGGAATACAACAAATCACACTGCCACGTGTGTACCTATGCAACAATCTTGCATGTTCTTCACATGTACCCCAAAACCTAAAATGCAATAAAATAAATAAATAGGGGGGAAAAAAAACAATGTTCTTGATTCTCTTTCCCCGTAATTTAGGTTAGAAAATACAAAGTAGAGGAGGAGGAGTGCATTTAACTGTAATGCTTCCCATACCTCTGTACTGTCTAGATCTAAAGTGGATTATGAGGAGAAGCAGCAGAAATCACAGGGTGAAAAGGGATAGGCCAGCCTGTCTACCTGACTAGAAAAAATTGAGTGCTACTCGTTTTTCATGGAATCCCTTCTAAACACTGAGGTTGATTCAAACTGTCCCTAGTTAGCAACAACTGCTTTTAATTAATAAATGTCTAGAAAGGTGTGAAATGGAAACAAACATCCAGCTTGGCACACTTCTTGCCCACTCAGACAAAAAAAATGAGGATATACATATCTTAGTTTCTATGAGGAATCAGTTCTGAGAAGAAGCACGATTAATGAGGTCAGTAAAACTTTGGTCAATTGAATATAAATCAAACATCAAAGTCACCAAAATGAAAGGTAAACACACTCAGACTTTAAAGTTTTCCTGTTAAAGTCCTGCCTTGTCTCACTGAGCATGTAACTCAGATCACAAGCCAATGCTGGAAAAATTTGGGAAGTTCAGCACACTCAGTTTAGAGGCAGAAGTTTGTTTTCACATGAAAAGGGGAATTCTCTTACTCTCAGGACTCCTTGAGTGCTCTTTGAAGAGGTTGGAAGAAATCAAACACACAGAATCTCAACTTCAGTAGAATTAAAGAGACTTCTTTCTTTCCTTTCCAAGACATATTGTAATTAGTCCTTTCTAAAGTTAATAGAAAGTAAATTACAGTAAATGAAAACATTTTGGAGGCTAAGTCTTCATGGTTTTGACCATGAAACTGCCTGGAGGACAAGTGGAAATCTCAACAGAGTTGGTCTATTGAAGATTGGTCTGGTTTTTAAAATGAACCTCGTGCTATATTTGTACATTAGCAGTTCAACTATTTTTTTTTTTTAGTTATTAGGACAGTCACTTGTCCAAATTTATCATTTAATGTGATCAATAAGACAAAAGGCACATAGATTTTGATTGGTTCTATTGTAATAAAAAAGTACAAGAATGGTGATTTCCGGTTTTACCCAGGTACCTGCAAAGGACATGAACTCATCTTTTTTTATGACTGCAGAATATTCCAGAAACAGAAAACCAAACACCGCATGTTCTCACTCATAAGTTAGTGTTGAACAATGAGAGCACAAGGACACAAGGAGAGGAACATCACACACTGGGGCCTGGGAGGTGGGAAACTGGGGAAGGAATAGCAGGGGGTGGGGGATTGGGGTGGGATAGCATTAGGAGAAATACCTAATGTAGATGACAAGGTGATGGATGCAGCAAACCACTACCATGACACATATATACCTATTAACAAATCTGCAAGATCTGCACATGTACCCCAGAACTTAAAGTATAATAAATAAACAAATAAATAAATAACAAGAACCACATTGTTAATGTTTAAGAAGGTTCATATTTTTAAAAATACTTCTTAAAATGAAGCATTCATTGACAATTGCCACCCACGACTTTATGTAAGAATTGACTCAAATCACAATTGTTAAGTGGAAAAATATTCCTTTGGGGCTCATTGTATCTTAGTCACTTAAAATGGAAACGTTTCCTGGGATCTAGTTCTTTCATTAGTTAATATTTATTATTATTATTTCATTGTTTAATATTTATTGTACCTCCAAATTTACATAGATTAACCCATTTAATTCTCACAATAATCCTTGAAATCGATATTAACCTCTCCATTTCATAAATGAAGAAACTGAGCATCAAAGAGTTTGAATGACTTGCCTGCTTGCATCAGGAATTCCACTTCAGATAGTCTGACTCCAAAGTCCATACCCTGAACTCTTATTCTATTCTGATTCTGCTTATAACTCTACTTCCTCTGTCTTTATTTTGTACCTATTAATGCAGAGTTGCAGTTTAGAAAAAGATTAAGAAGAGGGATTTGGAGTCAGATAGGTCTGAATGCAAATCCCAGCTCTACCACATACTAGCTGCCTGAACATGGGTATTTTGCTTAACTTTTCTGATCCTTGATTTTGTCCTTTTATAAAATAAGCCTAGTAATAATAATTTAACAGGGTTATTCTAAGGATCAAGTTGGCACAATGAATGTCACATACCTTGTGCACAGAAGATGCTAAGTTCATTATCACTTTTTTACTGAAGAAGATTTCTAAGTAGCTACCCATTTCTTGTCACAGATATACCATAGATATTTTGCCTCTATGCTTTCCTATTTTTACCCTTACCACAATCACCAAACTTGCCAAACCAGGCCCTTCCTAAATTGTCCATCCAGCCTGGTAACGCCTTGTGTTCATGCTCATATTTGTGTTCAAGTTCCAGAATTTTTCTTGCCTCCTCCTAAACAAGTCACACATTTCTGTACCTCTTCATACTTTAATTCTACTATTTATTTTCATTTTACTAGAGCCATCTAAAGACACTCCATTTCATCCAAGGGGCTGCATCTGTTTTTTTTTTTTTTTTTTGGCCTGCCCAGAACCATGGGTTCACAGATTAAAATAATCAGAATGTTATAAATAAAATGAATAAGGGAAGAAAATAAGTCATTGGACTAGCTTCACAGTAACAGAGCTGTAGGAGACATTAGAGGTATTCTAGTCCAATTTTATCAGATAATGGATGAGAGTTGTGTAAGAATACGCAATTCAAAAATAAAGATTATATATCTGAATCCTGGTCAAATTTTCTCTCCAAAATCTCACAATGTCTCAAAGTGGATAGGTTTGTTTGTCTTGAGCAGAGTAAAATATTTCTTTTACCTACAGGTAAAAACAAGAAGAGAGAAAAATAAAATTGTCATCAATAAATACAATAGACAATAAAAGATCAATAACAAATCTATATTACTGAGGCAATTAGCAAATCCTGAGTTAACCTATTTATTACCATGCTGCCTCATCAAAGAGTGACTCTAGCTGTGGTCAGAGCAAAGTGGCCAAATAGAAGCACCCACCAATTGCCCCCCTTTCAGGAATACAAAATTTAACAGCTATCTACAAAAATAAAGCAACTTCAAAAGAATAAAAAATCAAATACCAGCTTGCACACAGTGAGGTAGAACACCAAGCAGACCCTTGGGGTCACTGATTCCAGGTCTTGGCTATTTGACAGCATTTATGGACCTGCCCTGGGCCAGAGGAGAGCCCACCACCCTGAAGGGTGACTCTTAAGACCAAGCAGCATCCACAACAATCTGCCTTAAGAGACCTTGAGCTTTAAGTGAAAGTTGGCAGTACACTGGCAGTACTCCCCATGACTCTGTCATAGTGGTGGCCATGAAGTGAAGCTCCTCTGCTCATGGAAAGGGGTGTGGGAAGAGTGGGACGCACTTAATCTCTATGACAGAGCTGGAGGAGTCATTAGAGATATTCTAGTCCAAATTCCTCAGAGAATGAATGAGAGTTTCATAAGGTTCAGTTCAGCAGCAGCACAGTAGAGTACCATGTAGACTTTTAAGGTATTTTACTCTGGTTCCTGGCTCCAAAATGGCATTTCTAGACCCGCCCAAGGCCAAGAAGAATTCACAGCCCTAAAGGGAAGGACACAAGCCTGGATGGCTTTGCTCCCTGCTGATTGTAGAGCCCTACAGCCTGAAACAAACATGTGGTAGCCAGGTTGTGGTTACAGCAGGCCTTGGGCAAGACCCAATACGGAGCTCACTATAAGTCTTACCCAGCACAGTTTCAGCCGTGGTGGTCACAGGGGTGCTTGTGTCACCCAACTCCCATATCCAGGTGGCTCAACACAGAAAGAGATACTCCATTCGTTTGGGAGAAATTGAGGGAAGAAAACAAGAGTCCCTGTCTAGTAATCCTCAGAATTTTTCTGGATCTTTTCCAAGACCACAAAGGGGGTACTTCAACAAGTCTGCAAGAACTACAGCCTCACTGGGCTTGGGTGCTCCCTAATGCAGATGTGGCTTAGATCACAACACCAAAGTCCCTTTAAATGCCTGGAAAACAATTTCAAGAAGGAAGAGTACAAACAAGCCCTGACTACAAAGGCTACAATAAATACTTAATTGTTTAATGCCCAGGCACCAACAAATGTCCACAAGCATCAAAACCATCCATAAAAACATAACCTCACCAAATGAACTAAATAAGTCACCAGTGACCAATCCTGGGGAAACAAGCACATGTGATCTTTCAGACAGAGAGTTCAAAATAGCTGCATTGAGAAAACTCAACAAAATTAAAGATAACACAGAGAAAATAATACAACTTTATCAGATAAAGTTAACAAAGAGATTACAGTAATTAAAAATAATCAAGCAGAAATTCTGGAGTTGAAATGTGTAATGGGCATACCGAGGAATGCATCAGTCTCTTAAAGAAGAATTAATCAAATGGAAGAAAGAATTTATGAGCTCAAAAACAAGCTATTTGAAAATACAGTCAGAGGAGACAAAAGCAAAAAAATATAAAAGGAACACCTAGAGGATCTAGAAAAATACTGTTAAAGGGAAAAATCTGAGAACTAGTGATCTTAAAAAGAAGAAAGAGAAAAAGATTTAAAAATTTACTCAAAATAATAACTAACTTGGACTACCTAAACCCAGACAAGAATATCAACATTGAAGCATGAGAAGGTTATAGAACTCAAAGAAGCTTTAACCCAAATAAGACCACATTAAGGCATTTAATAATCAAACTTCCAAAGGTCAAAGATGATAAAGAAAGGATCCTAAAAGCAGCAAGAGAAAAGAAGAAAATAATATACAATTGAGCTCCAATATGACTGGCAGCAGTCATATCAGTGGCCAGCAGAAAGAGAAACGACAGACTTATAATGCTGAAAGAAAAAAAAAAAAACCCGCTTTTCTTGAAGAGTATATCCAGTGAATATATACTTCAAACATGGGGGTGGGGGCGAGGGGAGGAATAACAGGAGGTGGCGAAGTTGGGGAGGGATGGCATTAGGAGAAATACCTAATGTAGATGACAGAGTGATGGATGCAGCAAACCACCACCATGGCACATGTATACCTATGTAACAAACCTACACAATCTGCACATGTACCCCAGAACTTAAAGTATAATTTTTAAAATTAGAGTAAAAAATAAATAAAAATACGAAAATTAGTTGGCCATGGTGGTGCATGCCAAAAAAAAAAAAAAGACAAAGACTTTCTTGAAAAACAAAGCTGAGGGATTTTCTCAACATCAAAACTGTCCTAAAAGAAGTGCTAAAGGAAAATCTTCAGAGAGAAAAGGAGGTTAATGAGCAATAATAAATCATCTAAAGTTTAAAAACTCACCAGTAAGAGTAAGTACACTGAAAAACACAGAGTATTATAACACTGTAATTATGAGGTATAAACTGCTCCTCTCTAAGCAGAAAAACAAAAAATAAACCAATAAAAAATAACTACAACTTCTGAGGCTACAGACAGTAAAATAAGATATAAATAGAAACCACAAAATGTTCAAAAGCAGAGTGATAAAGTTAAAATATAGAGTTTTTATCAGTTTTGTTTTTACTTGTGTGTTGATGCAGTCAGTATTTAACTTGTCAACAGTTTAGGCTGGGCATGGCATGGTGGCTCACTCCTGTAATACCAGCACTCTGGGAGGCCAAAGCAGATGGATCACACTGAGGTCAGAAGTTCAAGACCAAACTGGGCAACATGGCAACATGGTGAAATTCTCTATTAAAATACAAAAACTGGCCAGTTGTGGTGGTGCACAACTGTAGTCCCAGCTACTCAGGAGGCTAAGACAGGAGAATTGTTTGAACCTGGGAGACAGAGATTGCAGTGAGCAAATATTGCACCACTGCACTCCAGCCTCGGTGACAGAGTGAGACTCTGTCTCAAAAAAAAAGTTATCATCTGTTTAAAATAATGGGTTCTAAGATAGTATTTGCAAGCATCATGATAATCTCAGATCAAAAAATATACAATGGATATATAAAAATGAAAAGCTAGAAATTAAATCATTCCACTAGAGAAAACCACCTTCACTAAAACAAATACAGAAGGGAAGAAAAGAAGATCAAAATACAACCAGAAAACAAATAAAATGGCAAGAGTAAGTTTTTACTTGTCAGTAATAACATAGAATGTAAGTAAACTAAACTCACCAATCAAAAGACAGTATGGTTGTATAGATAAAACAATAAGA